AACCCACATGCAAATCCCTGCCCCGGGGGGGTTCCTGTTAAATACAAACCCCCGGTTCAAGGAGCCTCAGTCTCTCCCCAGACACAGAACTGCCCGGTCCTGCCTGCTGGGGAGTTTCCCTCATTGCATGGAAACAAGAATGAAATCTCTGTTGCTTTTCCTTTCCCTGCTCTCAACCCTCCCCTGTGAGTGTCTATGGGGCAGTGGGGGGAAGAGGGACAGACCCATGGATGGATTTGTTCGATGGCTAATATTGTCTTTGCTTTTTTTCTCCTTTCCCCAGGTGTCCTGTGTGAGGTGCAGCTGGTCCAGTCCGGCCCGGGAGCGGTGAAGCCCGGAGAGACCCTCACCCTGACCTGCGCTGTCTCCGGTGAAACTGTCGACAGTGGCTCTGGTTGGAGCTGGATCAGGCAGCCTGCAGGGAAGGGGCTGGAGTGGATGGGAGATGTTTTCCAAAATGTTGACGATGAGTGGGAAACAGCTTATGCCTCGTCTCTCCAAAGCCGAGTCACCATCTCTGCAGACACTGCCAAGAACCAGGTCTCCCTGCAGCTCCGCTCGCTGACAGCTGCAGACACCGCCACCTATTACTGCGCCAGAGACACAGTGACACAGAGCAAAGCGGGACTGGCACAAAAAGGGGAAACGGATTGTGAGCAGCGCAGGGAGACAATTTGTGCTGTGATTCCCCCTATAAAATCGAATGAAAATGCAAAGGGGAGGAGGGTAAGGAACCCGAGGGCACCTATTTTACATATTTAGACCATGGTCGGCCTGACCATCATTTCTCCATTAGGCAAATGTTTATTCAGGAGCCCACCGCAGGTTGTTAGTTGCAGAAACATAGAGCGAATCTCACTCATCGCGGAGCACTACGGAGAGTAATTAACATGATTCATGGAAGGAGTCTGTCATTTATAAGGAAGAGGATATGCAAATGAGGGTGACAGTCTCCTGTTTGAATCTGTCCCTTTCTCTACTCAGACTGCACCCGGAGACACAATCCGCAGCCCCCTGGGTCTGTGCAGTTGCTAGCCAACCCCCCTGAGAACTTTCCCCTCCAAAACCAGGGAACTAGGGGATGAGAGCTGAGGAAGCATTGTTCTAAGTCAGCCATAAAAATGTTGGCATACTGTGGGGCCACGCGGGTACCCATAGCAGTGCTGCTGACTGGACGGTTTACAATTATTTCACATTTGGGGACAATGTATAGCTTCAGGTCAGGTCTGTGGAGAAGCTGAGCCCTTAGTGCAGGGCAGGAGGTGTTCGGAGCCCGGAGTGAGGGTTGTTTGACAGGCAACAATCTCTCAGTGGGGTCAATAATCTCTGAGTGATCTCCCCCCTCAACCCATTGATAATTCTCTGGATAAAAATCCACCCTTTTGTAGAGGGAGCACCACAAGCGCCTATGCACCTCCCGAGTGGCACCAAAGCATTTTAGTGTTTAACATTATTTGAGGGTCCGATGCCCAGATCCATATTCCCACAACAATCCAAAGGAAACATGTCTGTGATTTCATGCTCCGTGGTGGGAAGAGGAAGGCCAAAGTGGGTATGAATCCAAACAGAAATATGAATGGAAGGGGAATAGAAATGGAAGTATCCAGAAAGTATTAATCTGAATCTGAATGGGGATATGAAGTGGAGTATAAATGGGACTGTAGCGGGGTAGTTACCCCGCTCCTGCCCTGAAGGGCTTAAAGCAGCCCGGGGGGAAGGTTGTGGCTGGGAGCTGCTACACTGGGCTGATTGGGAAGCGGCTGCAGCAGGGCCACACCCCAATCAGGCCACAGCTGGCCTGTATAAAAAGGCTGTGAGCCAGAGGCCAAAGAGTTTCTCTCTACACTCAGAGAGAGAAGGGCCTGGCTGCAGGGAACTAGAGACAGGGTACCTGAGTGGAGCAGTGCTGGGGACAGGCTGTGGAGCTGGGGAGATCCAGCCTGGAAAGCCCCAGGGCAGCCCAGGGGTAGGCCAAGGCAGCAGGTTCAAACCCAACCTTGCCTGTGATGAGTAGGCTGATACTGCAGTCTGCCCCAGGGCATGGGGCTAGATGAAGACTGGCAGTAGCCTGATACTGAGGCAAGGTGGGGATAATGATGGGGGTTCCCCTGGGAGGGGGAGATCCAGTTAAAGGGGCAGTGGGGTCCTGGGAGGGACATGGGGGGCCAGTAGAGGACAGGTGGATCACCAGCCTGCAGGGGGTGCTCCAAGGCTGTGAGAGCTAATTCCTGGAGATGACCAGCAGGAGGCACTGCAGGGGTGAGTCTGCTCTTCTACAGGGACTACAAAGGGAAATAGGAACAGTTATATGACTATGAACTCCTAGGGATGGGACTGGCAATATGAATGGGAGGGTGAACTGGAATGTGAAGAACAATGTCAGTGGAAATATGAATCCAAATAGAAATACCACAAAGAAAAGCTGTATGAATGCTTATCTCCAGTAACTGACCTGCCTGTTCCTCTTCCCCAGTTCATCCTCTCTCTGCTGGGATTCACGTTTTTCATTTCCATTCTGTTAAGTGTCATTAGGAGAGAATGATACTGACACGCCCCCTCACACTAGAACTCTCCCCTCCCCTTTACACCTCCCCCCACTACTCCCCACGGCCACGCTCATCTCATAGAGACCCCTACGTTACTGCCCATTTACCTCCTCTCTGCACCTACCTACCACAGCTACCCACAGCCTCCCTCACCCCACAGAGACCAGAAAGGCTGGGTGCACTCTCTGCCTTCTATACCGGACACCACAGTTACTGTCATCACTCCATAGAGACCCGCTCACCCTGGCCTGGTCCCCTCCCTTCTACCGCTAATCGAGGCTCCCTCTTCATTCAAAGAGCGGTGACCTCTGGACATCTCTCCCTCCCCGTGGATTGGATCCCACATATGAATGTGCTACAGCAACTCCTGATCGCAATATGCAAAGCCCAGGAATCTTGGTTCCTCCCCCGCAAATAACCCACAGCCACGCCCCCCCCCAACTCCAGGATCCAGTTTAGGAATTACACTTCAGCTCAACCAACCAAAGACCCACTCTTGAACCGCCCCATCGCTGTTATCCCCATTATACACAGGCATTGCACTGGCCTGCCTCTAAACTGTAAATTCCCACCATCAACCCGAACCCAGAGAAGCCAGGTAATGAGGAGTTACGGGTGAATAATCCCCCAGGCTTTTCTAACCACACCTGAAATTCTTCACTGTCAGTGACACTCTGTGGCCCTCCCCCACCCCCGAGACATTCTGCCCTCAGCACATTCACCGCCCTGGCGCTGGGCATCCAGCTGTGAACTCTGGCCTCAGACTTTCCTCTGAGCCCTTCTCCCATCTCCAGCGACAATCTTCAGCACCGGCCCCGCTCCGTGCATGAGGCGCTCCTGCTGGGGACCTGGCCCCCCGGTCACTGCGCATGTCCGTGGAGCGGGCCCCTGCTGGGAAAAGGAATGGGCCACTTTGCTCCAGTGCCCCGGGGAATCTTCACCCTCCAGCGGGTGTCCCCCAAACCAATGAAAACCTGTGACCTGACCCCCGTCACTGACCCCACAGAATCACCGCCCCATGGTGCATGGGGAGTGCGGGCTTCAGAGCAGAATCTCCCACCATCTCTAATGACTAGAATAGATTTTGTATGGGGCCCCAATTCCCCAGGTAAAGAATTCTGGTTATTCAAGGGAGCTGTTTATTTCTCCCATGTACAAATGTATAAGGAGCAGTCTGACCCCTCTCTGAGCCAGTGTATTAGTCATTTACATCTCTAAGGAGAGGAGTTTGTGTCTCTTATAAGGAGCGGGACAGGCCAGTGGTTCTCAGCCGGGGTAAGCAGAGGTCTTCCTGGGGATGCATCAGCTCATCCAGACGTTTGCCTAGTTTTACAACCGGCTACATAAAAAGCACTAGCCAAGTCAGGTCTCACTGAAACTTCATACGGACAATGACTTGTTTCTACTGCTCTATAGGCTGAAATTTAGTACAATGTTTATATTCCAATCGATTTATTTTCTAATGATATGATACAAATGAGAAAGGCAGCAATGTCTCCATAATGTGCTGGGACACTTTTGTATTTTGATGTCTGATTTTTAAGCATACGGTTTTTAGGTGAGGTGAAACTTGGGATATGCCAGACAAATCAGACTCCTGATGCAGTACAGTCTGGAAAGGTTGACAGCCACTGAACTAGGCCATTTTCCTGTCTCTATTAGTGGCCAGAACCAATTGCAAGAAACCCTGGTCCCTGGACACGCCGCTCTCGGCCCACTAATGTCAGGGAGGCTCCACTGCAAAACCTTAACTCTGTCCTCAGACTCCCCCCCCCCCCAGCTTCTCCCACCTGCACCCACAGGCGGGCCCCAGACCTGACCCAAAGCACAAGCCAGGCTTCCTCAGATCACGTTCCTAGTGTCATGGATCATTTCAATGTAGCCGGTCACTGCTGGGAAGGGAAAGGGGCTTCCCCCAAATCCCTCCCAGCGCCATGGGAAATCTTCCCTCTCCAGCGGGTGGCCCAGCCCAATGGATTCCTGGGACACGACCCCTCCCGGACACTGACCCCCCGACCAGACGTTGCATGACCCCTGTGCGCGTGGAATGGGGCTCCAGAGCTCAGTCCCCCCAATCCCCAATATCACCTCACAATAGCCAGGCCCTCAGTTCCTGGGTGAGGAAATACAGTCACCAAAGGGAGCTGTTTATTCCTCCCAGGGGTCCGAAAGTGTCAGGAGGACCCAGCGCCCTGTGCCCGGCGCTGCACAGACACACAGGCCGGGACAGTCTGACTCCCGCACCCGGAGCCCTAGGGCGAGTCAGTCAGATCACTGGCAGCAGGAGTGTGTGTCTCTTATAACGCGGGGGCATGCAAATGAGGGAGACAGTTTCCTGTTTAAATCTGTGCCTCTCTCTGCCCAGGCTGCACCCGGAGACACAATCCGCAGCCCCTGGGTCTGTGCAGTGACCAGCCAGTCCCCTGAGAACTTTCCCCTCCAGCACCCGGGAAAATGGGATTTTTGCTCCTTGTAATTTTGGCTGTAGCAGCTTTGGAAGGTATTTTCCTCCTCTGAATAACTGGCAGAGTTAGAAGAATATTGTGTTACCGCTGCTTTTATATCGATATTAATGGCCTGTCTTTATTCCCAGGTGTCCGGTGCCAGGTGCAGCTGGTGGAGTCCGGAGGGGATGTGAAAAAACCCGGAGACTCTCTCCGCCTCTCCTGCAAAGCCTCCGGGTTCACCTTCCGCAGCGCCTACATGAGCTGGGTCCGACAGCCTCCTGGGAAGGGACTAGAATGGGTGGCTGCTATATACCCTGGTGGGAGTAGTACATACTACCTTGATTCAGTGAAAGGCAGATTCACCATCTCCAGGGATGATTCCAAGAGTGAGCTGTATCTGCAAATGACCGGCCTGAAGCCCGAGGACACCGCCCGCTATTACTGTGCGAGAGACACAGTGAAACAAAACCAGTTTGTGCTCATACAAAAACCCAGGCTGCGCAATCGCCCTTCTCCCGGCAGCCGGGCGGGGGCAGCAGTGACACACACACTGCTCCGGGCTCGGACAGGAGACCCTGCAACTGCGTGAATGTAACACAAACCTCCCGTCAGTTTTAACCCTTCCGTTCCCGGGCAACGTGTCTCCCCTTCCTGCCCAGAGCCCCGCGGGGCCTGCGGTGCAGAGATCCCTCGCTTCATCTGTGAACCCCAATCCGGAGTGAGTCCTGTTCTGAGTCGCTCTCCCCTCGCAGACCTGGCACGTTGGCTGTCCCAGGCCCATCTCTGAGTCAGACTCACAGGACAGTGTCTGTCAGTGTAAAGGGGACAAGCGTGTTTGGGTTTGCATCAGACCCAACGGATGGAGCGAATTGCTCCTGGGGCCAAATCCTCCGCTAGTGTAAAAAGTCACCACAACTGCTTCCGCTAGACTCGAGTTACTCCGGATTTACACCAGGGAGGCTCTGGCCCTTTCAGCAAACTGGGACGTTTATCGCATTAATGCAGCAGAAGGTGATTAGTTCATTATAACCGATGTGGGGCCCCTCACCTTGGCACTGCCGAGACTTTCCAATGCGGCTCGTGGATTGTTTTCACCCAACTGACTTGGAAATCGCAGCCCGGACTCTCCGCTGGTGTCAATGGGTGGAGCTGAGACATCCCAACCCACAATGAAGTTCCACAATGTCACAGAGTCACCATGGGGATAACAGACCTGCCCCTCATCCCGTGATGACATCACTCAGCCCAGCGCTGGCACTCAGGGCATTGGGGACAGTCACGTGACTAAGGGTTGTAGAACAGGAACATGATAGGATTTCATGGGGTAGCTCAGGGAGAGGCGGCTGCTGAGGGAGAAGCAGAGGCCCGTTGGTGGAGGATTGGGGGGCACTAGGGTCACAGAACGCAGCTCCCACTGAATTAGATACGGCCCAGGACTGACCCTCCTCAGACTAAGCAATTTGACTCCAAAACCCTTTCTAAAATACAGCCCCCAATACAAATTTTCCCGAAGCATTTCTGTACAGTTTGTCTCCATCCTAATTTTCCAGAGTCTCGTGAACAAGGAATGGTTCAGTGATGTACCTGGTCTCTAGGTTATAACATTGACACCAACATCAGAAATGGGCGTGGAGCTGAGAGATAGATAGATCAATAGATTATACAACTGTGGCCATTTAATTGTGTTATCAGTGTAATGAGGACAACTATATAAAGCTTATGAGAAATTTCTCTATTGAGGTTGGACTCCCAACCCACCTCTATTAGACTTAACAACGTGACGCTGTGTCACACACCTCCTAGGTCCCCACCCCTTATATTGTCCCCACCGCCCAGCCCATGCAAATGAGCTCCCCGGGGCCCTGTTCATAGCCCAGCCACAGGCTGCTCACCCCGCTCAGAGCCAGCACCAGGCTTCAGCTCCCCATCCTTCCTGGGGAACGAGCCGCCAGCCGCAGACATGACCCCCAGCCTGGCCATCGCCTTCCTCCTGCTGCTCCCAGCGGGTACGGGCGGGATCTGTGCTGCCGCTGGGCGCCCGGTACCGCATGCTCCCTAATAACTGTGCCTCCAGGAATCACCGCAATATTTCCCCTTTATTTCCCCCTCTGCAGGTGTCTATCCCCAGGTCAGCCTGGTGGAGTCCAGTGGGGGAGTCAAAAAGCCCGGGGAGACCCTCACACTGACCTGCACCGTGTCCGGATTCTCTCTCACTAGCTACGGGGTGCACTGGGCCCGCCAGCCAGAGGGGAAGGGGCTGGAATGGATGGGCGGTATCTGAAGTGATGGAAGCAATAACTATAACGATGCTCTAAAAAGTCGCCTCCCCATCACCAGAGACACCTCCAAAAGCCAAGTATTCCTGCAACTGACCGGCCTGCAGCCCGCAGACACCTCCCTGTATTACTGTGCCAGAGACCCACAGTGAGGGGAAACCTATCAGAGCCCGCACTAAAACTAACCTTGCGGGGAACCAGCTTTCTGGACCCAGGAGTGAGTCACAGACAGAAGCAGCAGCCGACACAGCGTCCTTCCGGCCTGGTTATTCGCGTCGTACAGATTCCATGGCAAGTTACAAGCACTTGTGAATTTAGCGCTGTCTCATCCAGAGTCAAACAGGTAATTAGATCTTCAAAGACTCAGAAGGGAACCCAGGAGTCCTGACTCCCAGGGCCCTGCTCTACAAATCGTCTATCATTCTGCCAAGAAATGAGAGGAAAGAGGCCAGGAATGTTCACTGTAGAGCAACTAGACCAGAGGTGGGCAAAGTACGGCCCGTAGGACCATCCTGCCCGTCCCCTGAGCTCCCGTCCGGGTAGCCTAGCCCCAGGCCCCTCCCCTGCTGTTCCCCTCCCCTGCAGCCTCAGCTCAGCGTGCCGCTGGGCAGCTCAGCGTGGGGGCAGGGGAGAGCAGGGAGGGAGGCTCACGCACAGCCTCAGGGGAGCAGACGGGAGGTGCGGGTGGCGCGAGTACAGGGAACGCGGCCGGAGGACTCAACGAGGACACCCTGGCGGCCGCGCAGCCGGCCGGAGAGAAGCGACGCTTTGAAGGGGAAACCGCCGCCTCTCTCTGGCTGCGCGGCTGCCCCTGCTCCTCCTGAGTCCTCCGCCCATGTTCGCAGGGCCGTATTCTGAAAGGGGTTGGGGGGAGTTGGATAGGGGGTGGAGTCCTGGGGGGTGGTTAGGGGCAGGGGGTCCCGGGAAGGGCCATCAGGGGACAGGGAGGCGGGGTTGGATAGGGGGTGGGGTCCCGGGAGGCCTGTCGGGGGTGGGGATGTGGATAGGGGTCAGAGCAGTCAGGGAACTGGGAGCAGGGCGATTGGATGGGGGGGTACCAGGAGAGGGCGGTTAGGGGACAAGAAGCAGGGGGGATTGGATGGGTTGGGAGTTCTGAGGGGGGCAGTCAGGGGGCAGGAAGTGGGGGGGGCGGTTAGGGGGCGGGGGCCAGGCTGTTTGGGGAGGCCTGGAGCCACGAACCGCTGCCAGTGAGAGCCATGATTGGCTAAACCTGCGGACGCGGCAGGTAAACAAACTGGCCGACCCACCAGGGTGCTTACCCTGGCAAGCCCCTTGCCAAAGGTTGCCGACCCCTGTATTAGAGCCAGGAATAGATGCCAGATGTTCTGTTAGGTGGATGACAAAATTTGTATCACTCATGGAACAGCTCAATGATCAGAGCAAACAGGCAATATATCACTCTGGCTCTACCCCTGCAACGTGCTGAGCTGGCTAAATCTATTCCCCCTCAACCCACTCCTAATTCCCTGTGGGTGAAATTAACCCTTGTGAAGAGGTCCCAGAACAAGAGCCTATGCACCAAGTGAGCCCTACATCAGTGTGAAGTGGGATTTTAATATTTCACAGCCCTAGTGCTGCCTTCTTTCTAGAGGCGGACTGCTCTGTTTTTATAGCATTTCCCCTAAATTGTTCCCGTCCCTGGCTCCGTGTCCCACATTCAACCTCACACAAACATTTCATAGTAAACATAAAGATTTACCGAGATCCATTTTTGGACTTATTCATAAATGATCTGGAGAAAGGGGTAAAAAGTGAGGTGTCAAAGTTTGCAGATGATACTAAACTGCTCAAGATAGTTAAGACCAAAGCTATCTTCCAGTCATTGGGTACAGAAGCTGATTTAAAGGACTGGTTACAAACCTTAGTTAATAGTTCCGCAACTTCACATTTGAGTTCTTTCAGAACTCTTGGGTGAATCCCATCTGGTCCTGGTGACTTGTTACTGTAAAGTTTATCAATTAGTTCTAAAATCTCCTCTAGTGACACCTCAATCTGTGACAATTCCTCAGATTTGTCACCTACAAAAGCTGGCTCAGGTTTGGGAATCTCTGTAACATCCTCAGCTGTGAAGACTGAAGCAAAGTCTCCACAATGACTTTATCGTCTTTAAGCGCTCCTTCTGTATCTCGATCTTCCAGGGGCCCCACTGGTTGTTTAGCAGGCTTCCTGCTTCTGATATACTTAAAACAACATTTTGTTATTACCTTTTGAGTTTTTGGCTAGCCGTTCTTCAAACTCCTCTTTGGCTTTTCTTATTATATTTTTACACTTAATTTGGCAGTGTTTATGTTCCTTTCTATTTACCTCACTAGGATTTGACTTCCACTTTTTAAAAGATGCCTTTTTTTCTCTCACTGATTCTTTTACATCGTTGCTAAGCCATGGTGGCTCTTTTAAAATTCTTTTACTGTGTTTTTTTTTTAATTTGGGGTATACATTTAAGTTGGGCCTCTATTATAATGTCTTTGAAAAGCGTCCATGCAGCTTGCAGGGATTTTACTTTAGTCACTGTACCTTTTAATTTCTGTTTAACTAACCCCCTCATTTTTGCATAGTTCCCCTTTCTTAAATTAAATGCCACAGTGTTGGGCTGTTGAGGTGTTCTTCCCACCACAGGAATGTTAAATGTTATTATAGTATAATCACTATTTCCAAGGGGTCCTGTTATAGTTACCTCTTGGAGCAGATACTGCACTCCACTCAGGACTAAAGAGGATGCTTTAAGTAAAAGAGGTAGTAATTTGAACACACCAGTATTGTTCTTCCTGTCGCCAGAGTGACAAGATTGATTCTCGAGTGGGCTTGCAATTCCAAACTTTACTCTCTCGCCACACGGCTGGCACTGTGCAGAATCCTGAAATTAATCTGACGCTTCAGGTTTCTAGTGGAAAACACACACACACTCCTCCCAGCAATGAGAGGTCACTGAGCGAAACTTAGAGAGAGGAAAATTCAGCCTCATTAAAATATTCATACATATACCGGCAAAACTCCGAGTATTGTGGTTAGGGTTATGCCTAAAGTTAGGGTTAGGGATAGAGTTAAGGTTACAATAAGGGTATCATTAGGGTTAATGTTAGGGATGGGGTAAGGTTAGGGTTAGGGTTAAGGCTGAGGGTAAGGTTCAGTATGGTTAAATATAAGTGGAAAGGCCTGGATTAACTTTAGTGTCTGGGTCAGTCTTATATTAAATGTGAGATTTAGAGTTATAGAGCCAGGGTTAATGTTGGCCAGTAGTATAAGGGCCCTACCATCAATCAAACCATAACCCCGCCCCTTGACCCCTTAAGCC